AGAGAGAGAGGCGGATGGTTAGGCTCCTGCTTGTCAGGTAGTGAGTGTTTCCCTAGGTCTTAGTCTGAGAAAATGTAAGAATCCAGGATCTTGTTGGCTTCCAAACACAATGCAGAAAGGAATACGTCTGAATGATGGCCATGTAACCTACCTGGGGCTATTGGCAAAAAAAGATGGCACAAGAAGAGGTTATCTGAGCAAGAGAAGCTCAGATAACACAAAATGGCAAACGAAGTGGTTCGCTTTGCTGCAAAACCTTCTCTTCTACTTTGAGAACGACTCCAGTTCCAGACCCTCGGGATTGTACCTGTTGGAAGGCTGCGTGTGTGACCGGGCACCGTCTCCCAAGCCGTCCCTCTCAGGAAAGGAATCGCTGGAGAAACAGGTAAAGGAACTCAGGGGTGCAGGGCAGGAGGGGGTTGCGGAAAGAGTGGGGATACGTACCTCTGTGAGGGACCTGAGGGGCTTGCAGGTCCCGAGCGCAGAGCGATTCAATACATGTACGGACACACGCGCGTCTAATATTACAGGGGCAAAGGCTTCTTTCAAGCGGGGAGGTGCGCCCAAAGCACTTTAACTTTAGCCCCCCTCCCCCAGTCCGTTGGCTGAAGAAGGAAAGGATCTTCCACCTTCACCCTACTCCTTCACTTCATCCCCTCACCCTGCAGCCAAAGAGAAGACAGGTGTTGACTTCTCCACTGGTTGGGGAGGGAAAGAAGTGACAGAGAGAGAGACTGCAGGGGACCTCCTCTCCTAATTTCTGGGAGAGAGGGAAACATTTCTATTCCGACTTTTTTTCTCAGCGCCCCCCCCTTAAAAACCGGTGCTTGGGGGATTGGAAGTTATTTGAAGGGTAGGAGAAGAGGAAGAGCGAAGAAGAGAAATTAACCAACCCCCCTCCTCCCCCGGAGCGCCTGAGAGCGGAAGCCGGAGATGCCGAATCTGGACTGTGCCTCTTGCGCAGAGGACTGAGCCTAGAATAGTGCTATTCCTCTCGCCTCCACTCTCCCACCCCCACCCCACATTGATACCGCAGCCCCGGTGCTGCCAGGTCAGCTGAGTTCCCTAGCCCTCCCAAGCACAGACCACGATGGAGGGAAGTGAGGGAGAGGGGAGGTGGACTGGGAGACAGATTTGTTTTGGTTTTGGTTTTGGGGTTTTTTTGCAGCCCATAACGAGCGGGGCTGGGAGTGGGGGGGGGGAAGGGTGCTGGGGAACAGAGAAGGCATCTGATCGCGACGTGGGACTCCGCGCTTCCTGAGTGTTACCGTGAAGGGAGCTTTCCCGCCCCGCAGTGAGCTAGGCAGAAACAAAACTGGGATACAATAAGAGTCCCGGGCAAGAGATAGGTCGGGGAGGGCCGTTGCCCAGAGGCGAGCTCCCAAGGCACTAACGCAGCTCACTAAGGCTAAACCGCTGAAGCGGAGTCTGCAAGGGATTTGAGGGTCAGTCCTTTAGGTCCAGGGAAGTTGGGGTGAGCAGTGGACAGTGGCTATCCCCCACCCCCACCTCTGTCCTCTATCTCTCTTCCTACTGAGAAATCAGCGGGCTTTAATTACTCAGCTCCTTGCTACCCGACAGTGCCCTCAGATGGACACCGCGCCAAAGAGGCTCTGCTGCAGCGGAACCTGCCCCCCGCGGGCTCTAACCCCTCCTCCTGCTACCGCTACCGATGCCGCCGCTGCTGCCCTCGCCTTCCCTGAGTTGCATGGTTAATAGGACAACCAGGGCGGGGGATCGGGCGCGAGCGCTCCAGAGGAGCGCGCCAGGCCAAGGGGAAAGACTTGAACCCTAAACACATACACACACACACACACACACACACGTACGCACGCACGCACGCACTCCCCTTCACCTTCTCAGTTTTCCCTAGCCACCCCAATTACTCGTCCTCTGTCTTCAGCCCTTTATTTGCTTGTTACTTCCCCAAGCTTCAGCTATGGGGGTTGGGCTGGGTTCCACGCGACTGACTGAGAACACCCGTGCCCTGAAAACCACATCTTGGCTGATGATGACTGCTCTTCTCATGTCTCCGATTCACTGGACCTTAACTAACTCTCCATCATCTGCATTCTTTCCCCACCTCCGCCTCTGGTTCGTTGACAGGTTATAAAAGAATCATTTCTGAGTGTCTAGTTTCCTTGGGACCCCACGCGTTTTTTCCTGAGTCCTCCCCGCTTGGGTATGCCAGTAGGCCATAATTAATCCCGATTCCAACTTTGAGATAGGGTTGAAGTGAATATTATGAGGTGGGGGAGAATTTGTCACTTTTACTTCGTGGTGCTATATGGATCTCTAAAACTATTGATGTTAATATTCAATGGTGGGAGGGAAAATGCCAATAAATATTTTTACCCACTCAGTGTACTATAAAAAAATTCTCCTCCAAAATACACCAGTCCATTGTGTGAATTGATTTGCCTCAGAATTAGAAACTGGAAGGACTCTTAAGGATGATGCTATCCTACCCCTTTTCACAAGGTGAGGTAGTAGCATGGCTTAATTGGAAATAGCGGTGGAATTGCCCTCAGTACCAGGGTTAGATCTAGACTTGTCACTACCTGTGTGGGCTTGGGCAAGTCACTGAACTCTCTGAGCTGCTTCTAAAAAATGAGGGAGTTGTATGAAAAGGTCCCTTCCAGCTCTAAATCTTTATTCTTCTGAATTTATCAACTGAGGCCCAGAAAAGTGAAGAGACTTGACCCATGTCACTTAGTTAGAAACAGTAGTAGGATTAGCTCTTAGCTGTCCTCTGCTCCAGTCCAGTTTTCTTTCCACAAGACTCCACTGATTTGAGCTTAAAAATGAGGTGATGCCAAAAAAAAAAAAAGCCCATTCCAAAAGCTTGGTGGTATTTGTTGAGTATAATGAAGTATCAGGCTGCCCAGATTTTGCTCATTTGATAAGGTAGTGGAAGAAACTGAAAATTAGGGAGGTCTTAAGAGATAGCTTTAAAAGAACACTAAATTTGGAGCTAGGAGAACTGAATTCAAATCCCTAATCTGCCATTGTGGGACAATGCTTTTGTGCCTCAGTTTCCTCATCAGTGAAACGTTATTATATGATCTCTAAGGTTCTTTCCAGTTCCAGGTGCTATGATACTATGATCCTAACCATTGCATATACTTGGATTGTAGTGATAAGGTACACCTGATTTTCCTTGTTGAAGCACAGCATAGTGTTTCTGAAGGCATGATGGGGCAAGGCTGGGATGAAACCACAGCTCGGCACTAATAGAATTATCTGCTGACTGGGGAGACATGTCAAACACCTGTGGATTGGTCTAGATATATGTATTCACCCCAAATATCCCAGAGTTCTGTCCTAAAACACCAGGCACTTCTGATTAACCCAACACAGATGCAGAATGGGAGTGGGGTTCCTGCAGATTGGTTCAAACTGAGCTAAAAACATGATGGCCAAAGACTTCGGAGAACTGAAGACCTGAAATCTATTTCCTAAAACAAGGCTATGTTAGTCCTTGCCCCTCAACTCCTATAGCTTACTAGATACTACTCATTTGACTAATAGATTCGAATTTGGTTTTTAAACCTTTATTTTAATGACAGCCATACCTGGGTCTGTTAGCAAAAAGAGATGTTACAAGAAAAGTTCATCTGAACAAGAGGAGTTCAGACAACATAAAATGGAAAATGGAGTGGTTTGCTTTGCTGCAAAACATGTTCTACTCTGAAAAATGACCCTACTATTTTAATCATATGCCTACTGTTAAAATAACCAAACCAGGTTGACTATTTGCAAGCCAAATCCATTCAACAAACATTTATTAAGCACTTACTATGTGTAAGGCCTATGTTGCAATGACAAAGTTCCTGCCCTCAAGGAGCTTATATTCTACTGTAATCATCTCTTAGATGATAAATTCACAAACAGTTAATGAAGGTGATGCTTAGTCCAGGATATTTAGATCTGGATTTCCCCTCAATAGGGATTATCCTCTCTGAAAGTCTGAAATGTAACACTGTAACAACCATGGCCTTTCAACAGATTAAAAAACAACACTAGCAGAATAAAAATATAAACTTTAATTGCCATAGAATTCTGAACAAAAAGAGATTAACCATAATGTGACAAAAATCAGCTCAAACGAACACCAAGGGCAGCCTTAATGGGAAAAAGTCACAATGGAAAGAAGGATAGGCAGGCCCACCTTCTACCCTGGTGTTTATTTATTATATGAGACTCAGGTTTTTCAGTACCAACTAGCAATGATAGTTGCTAGCGCCCCTTTCTCCCAGCCCACCCCACACTGGGTGCCTCTCTCTGTGTCACTGGGCCATTGTCCCAAAGCATGGGACCCAAGGCAATCACTGCATAGAGCATTCCCTAGGGACAGTTCTGCTATTAGTGTTGAACTCTCTTTAATGTATTAAACAATAATTCTGAGATCCCAAAGGGAAAGTTAATTATTCAGTGAAATGAATAACTCAAGCCAGGCAACTAGCATGGAATACTGATTTTATTGGTTTCACTCTTTAAGTGCTTCTGAGGAGGGTATAGGCCAATGTATAAGAAAATGTGTGGCCTGGAAAATTTGAGACACTTATTTGTATGTAATCATCTCTTTGAAATATATTTTTGTGTGAAATGCTTAATTTTACTCATGTGCAGTTACTTCATCTTGTTTTTGTATTTCTTCCTAAAAAATATTCATTTGTGCCCCTTGCTCGTCAGCCTCCATCATATGTCATAACCTGAAGAGTAGACACAAAGTAAATATGCCACAAATTGACCTTTAACACCAATTCCTGCCACCACATTTGTGACTACCCACCTTAGTCTTTAACAATTTATTTTCAGATAGTACATAGAATTTGCTATCTCAACCTCAAAAATATGAAAGTGATAAAGAGGGGGAAACAATTAATATAGAGTCTTATATCCATTGGATATAAAATAAATGCAAGTTGACCTCATTCTACATAAGAGATTCATAAAAAGTTACATGTAAATCAGTCTTTTATAAATTGAATAATGTTTTAAATATACGTCAGGAACTTGCTGTTGGAAGGAATCTTGTGGTGAGACCTTTTGTAAAGCAAAGAATCCTTCTGATAAGTGACTCACTCTTGGAGGTAGTAGTGATGGAACCTATACAACGATAACAACAAAAGATCTGATTTAACCTACTATGTACTTTTCTGCAGCATTTTCTAGCTGTCAAAGGAAATGTGTGTGTGTGTATCTGTGTTAAATGGAAAATGCCTACCTATAGTCAAAGGAATTCAAGTTATGCTAAATATGTTGTTGTTGCTCAGTCATATCTGACTCTTCATTACTCCATTTGGGGTTTTCTCTGCAAAGATGCTGTAGTAGGTTGCCCTTTCCTTCTCCAGTTCATTTTACAGATGAGGAAACTGAGGT